GTACCTATGTGTCTCTATGTTTAATATTACAAATTAATTACGTGTTTTATTTATCTACCTGTGAAAAATTTAACCAAAAGCAATGAAACTGCAGTGTGGTTAAATGTTAGTGACTGTTTTATTCTCCTATTGCTCTGACTGGTGGCAATATATGCAGCAAAAACTTTATGTTTTTATTTTATGAAACTTTTCCGTAATATTTTCCTGCGTGTTTTTGTATATTTTCCGGCAGACTGCTTTGATGCGGCATTTATATTCACATTTTATTTCAGTCATCTGACCAAAAGAACTCGTGTTTTTCTGTCACTCCGTGCAAATAAATAAATGAATGGATCATAAGCTTCAGAAATAATACGGTTGGGAAAAGTAATTTAGTTTTTTCTCATTGGCGAAAAATTCCGTCATATGAAACAGTAAATTTTTACGTCTGAAGCAATCACGATCGTGACATAAACATRGAATCTTTGACACTGAACAATTTGAGGAAATTTGATAACTATCGATAAAATTATAGCCTGGGTTATGTTCGATAACTATATTTCTTGTATCGGAAATAGCCTCCCTAGACATTTTTTACACGTTGGCATTTTTGCGGAGCAGCATTTTCGAAGATGTTTTCTAAAATATATTGCATTCGTTAAAGGAACTGAACGTGTGGTATCACACGGTTACATACATTTATCGAAATGATTGATCTTTTGTGCCAGCGGAATAGCAAGTTGAAACATTTTCTTGCAGAAAATGCTCAACTATTTACAATTTGTTTTCAAGTTCGGTATACAGGGTGTTCGGTCCAAGTCGCCCCAGCCGATAACACCTAAACTTACTTTTTTTTTCAAAAACTAAATTTTCGAATTGTACTATCCATCCCTCGTTTTCTTAGTAAATGCATCAATTAAATACTACCAAATTTAGTTTTTCAAATGGAACACCTATGTTTTTTTGCTCGAAACAATAATAATTGGCATGAAAAACACGGTAAACCACTATTTATTACATTTTACTTTACATAATGCACTCAGAAAACAATTTAAATTTTTAAATGTTATTGCAAATTTTGCAACGTAGGCGGATTTTACTTTTCAAGGTATTCATGCAAAAAGCAATATGCTTGAATACCGTTTAATAGTTAGTTTGACAAAGCCTAATTTGTCAATAAATTTTACTGAGATCTTTAATAATGGATGATATTAATTACGACGAATTGGTAGATCAGTTTGAAGTGTTTTTTAAGTGCAATAAAAATAGAGCGGAAGCTGAAAGACAGTATAGAGAAAAATACTCAAATAGAGCTCACCCAAATCGTTGGAAATTTAGTCGAATTGAAAAAAAACTGAGACGAATAGGTTCGCTTTTTAAAAATAAAAAACCTGTGGTTCTTTGTGAAGAACAAGAAAATAGAAATCTGTTCTGTTATCAGTCGAAGAAAATCCAAGAGTTTCCATAAGAGAACTCGCTCATCAACTGACAAATTAGATTTGTCAAACCAACAATTAAACTGTATACAAGCATTTTTTTATTCACACTTTTCCTTTAAAATTAAAAAATCAGGCTACGCGACCAATTTCCTTATAAAATTCTAAGATTTAAGATGTTTTTTGATTGCATTGTGTTACGCAAAATGTAATAAATAGTGTTGGTTTACAGTATTTTTCATGTCAATTATTATTGTTTGGAGGAAAAAAAACATAGGTGTTCCATTTAAAAAACTAAATTTGGTAGCATTTCCGGAAACACCGGATGTACTAAAAAAATTTAATACATTTATTAATAAAGCCAAGAATGAATATTATTACTTAAATATTTACTTTTTGAAAAAAAGAAGTAAGTTTAGGTGTTATCAGCCGGGGCGACTTGGACCGAACACCCTGTATACGTCGATACGAGTACCTGATCATTATTTGAAGTGTTACAAGTATCAAAATGTCAGCTTTTTGGAAAATGTATATGTAAGAAATAAATATATAATCGAGAATTTGAGAAGACATTTTCTCATTGCACGCCTGTAGATATAATATTGTCAGAATATAATTTTCTGATTAATTGCGATTCTATTGTTCCAAAGCTCAGATTTACAGCTTCGGGAATAGAATAACCAAAGCATATTTGGTTTGTTAGGAGATATGTTGCCTTAGGAAACACTGTACGTAGAGGTATAGAAAATATGTCTTGTGCTATTATTTACTGCATGCATTCTGTATTCAGAATGCTTCGTATTTCATATTAATGTTAATAATAAGAGAAATTATCKGCAAGTTGTGAAACCATTGTGTTTTTTCAGTTTAATGAAATATGAAATGAAATATTTCGAATAGTTTGTTTGATTGGAAATTYTGTGTCATATGTTTGTTTATCGGTAACTGAATTCAAAATAAAATATGTAGGCTTTCAAACAATAATTTGTAATTTGTTTCTACAAGCAAGCTTTTTAAAATCTTATGATTGTAGATAACTTGTGTATTTAAGTGTAAGTGTAGTGTTCTGGTAAAGTCTATTATTGATACTTCATTATTAAATATTTTAAAATTTAAATACGTAAGTCATAGATACTAAACTACTAAACTGAAAAGACTTCCAAGTGTTTAAAAAAAAATACAACACAATTTAATGTTTTTTTTTTTATTGAAATACTCTACAAAACATTTCATATAATTGCAATCAATAATGCATAATCCAGTGCAAACTCGATTAAAAATATTAAATAATGGTATAGTTTTCTGAAGTTTGTACATTTCTCAAATAAATAGCAATAATTAATGTCAAAATTCATTGTTAGTTAGAGAATATTAAGACAATTTACTGAAAAATTAAAGATATTAATTACTTACTCCGTGCAGTCATGACGAGTCTGATACTTTTTTAAAACTTCATTAAAATTTTAAGACAATTTATTGTTTCTGCTTATAACAGTATCAAATCGTGTGACATTCAACTTGCAAAAATCCTTTAAGTACTTAATTCAATAAAACATTACTTTAAAGTAACAACTAAGCAATATTCATAAAAAATTAACAAAAATAATACACGTTTAAATTTAAAATATGTTTTTTATGTTAATGTGACTACCCTATGTTATATCAAGCCTTATTGATCCGAGTATCCAGATCTCAGAATATCATTTCTGAATCCGATAAAAAGCTATAAGTCGATTGTTCACTAGAATTTTTCAAGAATCCTTAAAGATTTTGTTCAAGATTCTGCCACTGCCAGTACATAATTCATATTATTTTAACGTTACTGATGTTTTTAAAATCTAAGACGAAAAAAAAAGTGTTCTTGCAGATAAATATAATGGAGCCTTCCAGAAAACTATGTGATAATAAAAAAGAAATTAAACCATCATAAATTAAAAAAATAAAGAAAAATAAAACTATTAAATGGACAACGAAAATATTAAATAATTGGCAATTTCTTCAAAGATGGGGATACAAGTTGCTAAAATTTTATTTATAGGAAACCAATAAGTCTTTTTTCAAAAAAAATGTGAGGAAAATGATCTAATGACTAGGTGATAAATGTTGAAATATCAACAGCTTTTTTACTTTATGTTATTATGTAATCGCAAAAAGTATTATTTGTATTATAATAATCATTTACATATTACTCTTAGGAAGAATTATTGTAGACCACTGAGAAAGATATTTTGATTTCTCTCAATACAGGGTGTTTCCGATCTTGAGATTAAAATTTAAATGAGAAAATATTTACGGAGAAGAAAACTAATACGCTATACCTATAAAACAAAAATCCACGTTGTGAAAAAAAAAATTCATTTTATATTATTTGTGTAAGAACTATACTAACAATGGCCATGAGTATCAGTATCATTACCTTGTATTTCATCGTAAATCACGACAACCAATTTATTATTTTAATATTTGCGATCCATGTCCATAAATTTGTAAAAAAAATAAGAAAAACGAATCAAACCTATTGGAAACCATTTCGCTATTCTTAAACAGCAGATCTTCAAATTTTGATAAAAACTACTACATGTATAGCTGGAGACAATTTAACTGATTTCGAGAAAACATCAGTAATTTTTTAGTAAGTAATAATAAGAATAATTAGACCCACAAGTTTGTAACGCTAGAGATTTGTTTGCAAAACAAAAACAGCCCATATTTTCGACACTTGATCAGAATATGTTGAAAAGAAATTTTAATAAAAATAAATTATAACGTTGTTTTTGCGTTAATGATTGTGAGGGCATAATATAGGTCTGTCGATTAATATGGCAATTAACACTGATAAAACTTTATTTTTATTGATTTTCATTTCTTAATTTACCAATATTACAACAGTTTTACTTTAACTTTGTTTCTAAAAAAGGGCCATAAACATATAAATAAATACATTACAAATAAATGACATTAATAATAAGTACATTTCATGAATTAAACAAAAACATTGTGAAATAACAATTAACTTTTTACACGATGTTTTGCTGCTATTCTGTCAGTTCTAATTTTATTTCCCTTATCTTCCTCGAGGTCATTATCTTTGTTTAAAATTTTGGTTTAAAGCTAGGTAAGTGCCAAAAGAAGTAATAATTTATCTCACACATACAGTTCTAAAATATTTTAAGAAAATGACTAAAAATATTACAAGGACTTTAAGAGATTAACATGGTGCATATCACCCGAGGAAAATTACTGGGAATAAGTCTGAGATTGTTAAATAGATGGTTTATTAAAAATAAAGACGTTTTTAAATGTTTCTGATTTTACTATGTGAATATGTTTATAGTTTTATATAGATGTATATACTGATTTTATAGCCTTATAGTGAATACATTTACATCCTGGAGGATGTTGCAGTTTTTCAGTTACAATTACTCGAAATTCTTGCTGTTGTATTTAAGAGAAATTTATCGTGTGCTACCAATCGCTAGATATTTTACCATTGTTTCCATAAAAACTTCTAAAATCCTGTTTTGCCTTGTCTATATACCTGAAAAAATTGGAGCGTTTGGAGAAAGATCAAAATAATACCCTTTTCTTAATGCCAAATGGCCTTTATGACAAAATTTGAATTACACAAAAAAATAATTTACAGAAAATTAAAATTGCTGAAAACGTCAATCAGAAGGAGAAATATTTTGAGCCGCCGCAATTAATGTATCATGAATTTCTTTCGCATACGCTACTTGAGCACTAGCAGTGGCCAAAAACTGAGGATATGACAACATATTTTCGTTAATTCCAATATTTTCACTTCTATGAGGAATCACAGGTACATGCAAATATCGATTGCTACTTTCTAATTGACCAATGCATTTAACTGAAGTTTTCTGAAATATAAAAATCCATAAATGAGAAAAGAAACACAAAATCTAACCCTCACCAGATGTAACTCAATTTGATCACATATCGAATAGAATTCTTCCAGATTTTTATCAAAGCGTGGTATCGGAACATCAACTCCTTTCCTAACAAAACAACAATGCCATTATTACAAAATTAAAAGCAATAAAAACTTACAAAGAACCTGCATCCACTTGACTGTTTTGGTTTAAAGTTTGTGCCGCAGTCTTAATAGTATTCTAAAAAAAATAATTACAGGTAAAACTATCAATTTACATACAAAAAACTCACAGAAAGTGACTCTCTTAAAGGCCCAATCAAAGTTTTAATTTTAGAAATGTTATCCAGTGGTTGAAGGGGTTGTTGCTGTTGCTGTTGTTGTTGTGGCTGTTGCGGATTTGGCTGGGGAATCATTCCCATTCCCACTACGTTCATGGCTGTAGTTAAATAAATTATTTCAATAAGTTTTCAATAATAATTTATTGACAGTGACAGAACTGACAGATGCAAAAATTTAGGTTATATTAAAAATTGTCAACAACGTCAGTACAGATCTCTGCTTATGGCTCAACATTATTCCATTATCGCACACAATAATGAAAATAATTTTAAATAGGTTAATAATATAAGAGCTTCTATCAGTTGTAAAAAAATATTATTATTTTTAAATAATTTATTAATTGTGATTTTATTAAATAATTAACTTTGTCAATACAGATCTCTGCGTATGGTTCAACGATATTCCACTAGGTAGCACACTATGGCACACATAAAACGATCAAAAGAAGAACATTTTATATAATTAATTTTAAACAAGTTAATACTATAAAAAACTCATTTAACTATAAAAAAGTGCTAAATTTTTTAGCGGCACAAGTTTATTACTAATCTTTACTGAGTTTGTAAAATTTTAAAATTGATTAAACAGTTGCGACTTTGACTATCATAAGGTCAAAATCATATGATCAATCAGTCTGTCACACTTTTGAAGACAAGTTTTATAATAAAGGCGTTGTCGGACTTGTCCTTTGAATTAAAAGAATTTGATTAATTTTAAAAGTGTTGAAAATAATCTACAACAATGGCACTAAGCGATGTCGACGTACAAAAACAAGTAAGTAAACAAAAACGAATCTAAAAAACCACACATTCTCAATACAAGAATTTATTCTTATACAAATTAAATAAATAATGCTTATTATTTATATTATATTGGCAATTATCCGTATAGATCAAGCATATGATGGCTTTCATCGAGCAAGAAGCCAATGAAAAAGCCGAAGAAATTGATGCGAAAGCTGAGGAGGAGTTCAACATTGAGAAAGGGCGTCTCGTCCAGCAACAACGTTTGAAGATCATGGAATATTACGAGAAGAAGGAAAAACAGGTCGAATTGCAGAAGAAAATGTACGTAAATCACGTTTTTGGGATTGTTTTCATGTCATGTGATCTATTGCAGTCAATCATCCAACATGTTAAACCAAGCCCGTTTGAAAGTATTGAAAGTGCGTGAAGACCACGTCCATAACGTCCTAGATGATGCTCGCAAACGTCTTGGCGAAATTACCAATGACCAAGCCAGATATTCACAGCTTTTGGAGTCCCTCATCCTCCAAAGTCTCTATCAGGTATTGATCTTAACCTAAGACAAGGGAATGTCTTTCAAGTTTTATTTCATCCTTCTTTTATTATTTTTTAGTACTTGGGAATCAGTGATGAGGTATCACTTTATTATATTTTTCTTTTGTCTAGCATTGACAATTTTAGTGTGTCTCTCATAATTCTGTCCTAGTTTTACTACTCTAGTTTAATTTTCTAGCAAGGTCGAGTAACCCAGAGTGAAGCCTGGATGTAGGACGACTGTTAACTTATCTACAATTTATTTAGTTTAGTCTTAGACAACAAAATAGCTCATAATTTAGTATTAGAATCTAAAATATCATGTCAGTAGTGGGTGCATTTCTTAACATATTTCTTTTTTTAGTTGTTTGAAAACAATATAGTGATCAAAGTCAGGCAACAGGATAGGAGTTTGATTCAGGGCATCCTCCCGGTAGTCTCGACAAAATACAGGGATGCTACTGGAAAAGACGTTCATCTTAAAATCGACGATGAGAGTCACTTGCCATCTGAGACCACTGGAGGAGTGGTTTTGTATGCGCAAAAGGGAAAAATTAAGATTGACAACACCTTGGAGGCTCGTTTGGATCTAATCGCACAGCAGCTTGTGCCAGAAATTCGTACGGCCTTGTTTGGACGTAACGTTAACCGTAAATTCACTGATTAAATCGTCAAGACAATTTTTCATTTCATTAAAAATAACATTTTTACTGTAATTCCAAGCATTATTTAAATGCACCACCCCATAATGTAAAATAAAATTGTTGCTTACTGTACCAATGTTGTATATTAAATTATTTAGGATTGTATCAAGAAGTATTCCATTTTTTGTGTAGTTGCAATTGTAGCTATTCAAGGTCGTGGTGGTTGGTAACGTCATGTAATAAAATTGTACAACCCCATTTGTAAATAGATGGTTTTATGTTGAAACAATACATGCTACAAATTACAGTGAGTTTTTATTTGTTACACCTGAGTGAAAATTTTGTAGATTAAATTTTGTTTTTAACACAGTTTGAATGGGGATCTCCAGCTCTGTAGATAGATAGATCTACAGGTCTGTAGATATAACCACAGGTCTGTAGATAGATCTACAGGTCTGTAGATAGA